TTAAAGCCCTAAGAGCTAGCAAAAGTCAACTGAAATTCGTGACCTCAGAGAACAAAAATCATCTGTAGAGGTCAAAGGCTTGTCTGAGACAAGTATTCATCTAGACGGTTGCTATGTTACCGGTTAGTTCTAAACTACCTCAAAGGCTTAAAATGACTTAAAAAAAGAGTGGAACATTGAATAAGAATATAAATATGCTCTTAATTCAAGTGTTGCTATGGCTGAAGAACAAAAATTATAACCTAAATTTCATGATTCTCTTCTGTTAGCTGTGAGTTATACCAGATGAATCCCTAAATATCTTTCCATGCACCTAAGAGAAGAATTTGAAGGGACAGTGTCTTCAGTGTGTCCATTACAAATCAAAGGACATCACTTAATGATATATATGTGTTCCACAAACACATGACCTGACATAAAATTGGAAAAGATGACACAATTATCCAACTTAGCAGTCTCTTATTTGGTATAATTCTATAATAAAAGAAAACCTCTGCCTCATCCTTTCAAATAAGAATTCCTAAAGGAATAGTTTTAGCTCATCCCTTACCAGCTTGTTTTTTCATTCCTTGTTTTCTTCATTGTAGAAATAACTAGTCCAATACAGAACATTAATATTTGCCAGATACTCTAGTTTTCTCCCCACAGTAACCCTTAAAGAGAAAAAAAAAAAAGGGCCTAGTCCATGATGGTCTGCATGTAACAGCTATTTGATGGATTTAAATGGATAAAACTCTCTTTTAAAAATAAATAAATTGGGATGGCCAAATAGCTCAGCAGATTAAAGCACCTGCAAGCAGGTGCAGGGGCTGGAGGCTCAATTGCTGGGCCTGCTATGCTGGCTCCACTCTCAGGGTGTGCTGAAAGGGCAAATGAGACTGGGCATGGTGGCACACGCCTGTAATCCCAGCTCTTGGGAGGCTGTAAACAGGCGGATCACTTGAGTCCAATCTAGTAGTGAGACCCTGAACACCCTATAGACCCTTCCCTACAAAAAAAAAGTAAAAATAAATTAATAAATTAATAAAGCAGACTTGATGAGGAAAAGAACTAATAAATGACAGGTTTTCACACAGAAAAAGAACATTAGAGTTACAATACTAACAACTATTCACTCTGTTTTAATATTTAATCTTACCTCAGCCATGACAATTTTGAGCTGCGGAATACAAAGAAATTTAGCTCACCAAATACTTGCATTGGCTTTCAAAATGTTTATGGCGGCCTCTGCAGCTCTATGTTTCGCCAGCTTCTTACTTGTTCCTTCACCTATGGTACGATTTGAAAAGAAACTCTTTACCTTCTGTGAAACTGTGCAGCACAGATGTTGTCATGATACAAAATAAAGCCACTAAATTTTAAAATCACGTAATAAAAACAAACACTAAATGCACTCATACAGTACACTGCAATAAAGCATTCATCATGTGGAGGTGTCATAGGCAGCTGATTTAGAAATACAGGAAGTCAGGGCTAGGCCCTCAAAGAAGTCAATATGGAAGGCAAGATACCTTGTAACTGTGCGGGAAACAGGCACCTCTGCAGTGGGCCCGACCTCAAGACAAAAGATGAAACAAATGCAGCCACGTGCCTCCCTAGAGATAGCCATCAGGGATTGACATTCTACATAGGTATCAAACGCCTTGAAAAATGCTAGGAAAAGTCACCAACCCAAGCCTCTACAGGAAGAGTCCCTGTTCTGTATTCTTTGCTTCCCCGTTTGATACCCAATGAATCAATTTTATGCTTGTAATCTTATTGGTGGGCCATAGTTTTGTCCCATCTAGTGAGTTCTCATGTTTTCCACCTTAGACCACCTCATGGTTTTGCTCTGTAAAAATCCCCAGAAAAGGCAGATTCCTTGGCAACCCACTCAGATCCCCTTCTGTCCCTCTCTCAGACAGAAGCTTTCTTTCCCCCAATAAAAACATTCTGCTCTTAAGCGCCGATGTTTCCAAAATTCATTCTTTGGTTTCAGAGAACATGAACTCATCCCAGTAATCTTTCAAGTTGGGTTTCATTCCTCTATACCAGAGTTCATACATTACCAAAACTAGTTTTAAGAATTCTGTATTTAGGTCTATGCATGCCTATGTAAGAAACATTTCTACGGTACTTGTACATTATACTATATATGTTTATGGTGTAAAGTAGTAAAAAAGTAGCCCATGCCACATCTCCCAAAGAAATGAACTTTTGCAGTTTATTTTTCCTTTATTCTGGGACAAGAAAGAAACTCTTCCACGGCAAGACATTTTCTTTAAAGAAGCCACTTATGGCAGAACTGTTGGACAGCAAATTCTGCAAAAGTTTATTCTGACAGCTGGGTTCTATTCTGAGCAGCTATGACTACGTGTTGAGTACAGTGGAAGAGTTTATATACATGTTTTCTATAAAATCTGTATCCCTCACCTGGCAAGACAAGAGAAAGTAGGGAAAAAGACTAAATTTCAGCAAATTTGGTCTAAATTTCAGTAAAAAAATCACATCTGGTAAGATATAAATTCAATCCTTTTTCTTACTGAATTCTAATCTTCAAACTCATAGAGTAAGTTTCAGTGTCAATGGACACAGTGTCAAGTGTCAATGGACACAGATGGACACACAAGCCATACTCTTTTATCTACTAATGCAGAAAGAACATAGGATAGACCTAAACACGCCCCTTCCCTCAAGGGCTGACAGCCTAGTGTAGGATCTTGTGTGGACCACGGGGCTCCTAGCCTGTGGCTTCTGCCCCAAACAGCAGCTCTCCAGCTCCTGGTATGGATTCAGAAAGGGCTTATGAAGGAAGGGATAACTAAATGGACTCCTGAAAGACGGGCACATGCTAGTAAAGTAGAGAACACTGAGGATTAGGAACAGCATTCTAAGAAGAGAAAAATCATCTGCAGAGGATCAAAGGCCTTACAGGTTAGTGTTTTCAAGAACCCAAGCACCAAGTATGGCTGAGTTCTAAGGGCTGGAGGGAGGTTTTGACAGACTGGAGAGAGCTGGGCAGTAGGGGAGGAAGCCAAAGAAGGATATTATGAACCTGAGTATTTGAAACCTTAATACATATATAGGAATTGTCATGGAATTTTGCTAGAACATATTCTAATCCCGTAGATCTGACAGGGACTGATATTCTGCAATTTGATCGAGCACCCAAGTGGTTATCATTGCTGCTATTGAGTCCTTTTTAAGAAGCAAGACGGTAAGCCATATTTAAAGTTCGGTATTTGTCGAGAGGGTGGTGGGGTAAACCAGTAAGTGGATTTTAAGAAGAGCAAAACAAATCTAGACCTCAACGAACATTCATTCTATAGTCCAGGGCGGACCTGCAATTCCATATGTAGTTCCGGATGGCCTTCCAGCCTCAGCCTCCCCAATGCTGGGATTACAAGCATGTACAAGCATAGGTAATATATCATGCCCATCTTGGGAAGGAAAACAAACAAAATTCTTTCTTATACAAAATACGGGCAGAGTTTCAGGAACAAAGCTCCTGCAAAGCTGTTATGCAGTATAGGGCATGGGAGCATGCTGCCTTTTGTCGTTTTTTATGGACACAAAATCGTGGTACAATGGATAAAAAGTTCCAAATGTGTCTGCAAAGAAAGGGCAGAAACTCAGAAAAGTCTGGTATCATTTCTCCTGACATCGGCTATAATCTGTGAATACACCATGATACTGGACAGCACCTACTGACTCAACTACCAGGGCTCTCAGGACCTCTCCCGTTCCTAATTCCTGGGGGAAATTGAGGGAAATTAAGGAGGACCCTAGCGTATGAGAGGCCTTGCAGGACTGCCAGGTAACTTTTGGGTTTCTGAGCATATCTGGGAAAGAGAAAACTAGGAGGAAACTGGATGAAGTTGCAAAGCTCTAATGATATACAAAATACTAGAGGTTTTGGTTTCACAGCCGTTTCTCCTAGCTGGCAAAAGAGGTACTTTTCCGAATAGAAAATCAACACCACGCCTGACAGACAACCCGCAGGGTCACGGGGGTTAAGTGTGCATACAGACCTGTGCAGGTTATGTCCCCAACGGTTACTCTGAAGGTGAAAGTGGGCACATGTATTTGCACATCCGATCTTTCACATTCATACACCGGGATGTTCTTGGTCTTCATGCCGTACTCGTGTAATACCTGAATCGGTGTTTTCCCTGGCTTAGCTGTTATCATCTTCCCCAAACTGCCAAGACCAGAAAAAGATGGGTTTTGCACGTCAAGGCGGAGAGGGACGCAGAGGCGCGCTCGGGCCAGCTGGACCGCCAGCAGGGGTGCGCGGAGAGCGCGGGCTCCTGGGCCCGCCAAGCCGAAGGCCGGGCGCACCTGTCTTCCTGCGGCAGCGCTCCGCAGGGCAGCGGTGAGGGGGTCGGTCGGGAGGGGACTCGAACGTGGGATTCTCCGGGGAGCAGGGCAGGCCGCCCCGCGGCACCCCCACCGCAAGCCAGGACCCCGTCCCAGCGCAGGGGCGCGCTCCGCGCACCCCGCACAGCCCCAAGCCACAGAGGGGCGGGGCCGCGCACCGGGCCGCGGGCGCCGGGAAGGGGCTCTACCCAGAATGCTGCGGGCGCGCGCCCCCGCCCCGCCCCCGCTGTCGGCCCCGGCCCGGCGCTGACCTGAAGGTCCCGCTGTCCTCGCGCTCCAGCGGCGGGGCCTCCGCGCGGTGTCGGCTGTGGGACATGGCGAGAAGGGGCGGATAGCAGCGCGAGGAAGGGCGGCGCGGAGGCTCCTCGCTCCCTGCGACGGCCGGCCCGAGAGAGCAACGCTCCCGCACGGCCGCCTTCTTCGACGCTCCCCGCCGGCTGCCTGCGTCCCTCTTGCGGAGGGGACCGGCGGGGCGGGAGGGGAGCGAGAGGCGGAGCCTGGCGCGGGAGCGCGGCCGCCCCTTCCCGTCCCCCACCCCGGCTCCCGGCGCCGCGCCGAGCCCGCGCCACCCCTGGGCTCGCCAGGCCTCGGCCCGCCGCTCCCCACCCCCTGAGCTCTGCCCCGCGCCCTTCAGCGCCCCACTTCGGAGTTCGGGTTCTCGGCGCCCGGCCTCGACCCCGGCGCATCGCGGCTCTCCATCCTTAGAAGCGTGCGCTCCCGGAAGCCTGGTGTTGAGGATGCGGAGTCCAGAGTGGGGCCTGCGCCTTTGAGGAAAGATTGTAAAATTCCGAATGCACAGTTGCTAGAGAGTCGCAGGAGCCTGTCCTGAGAGCTGCAGCCCCTGGGCTTGTCGCCCGGCCCGAGCCTCGCGGCGCAGCCCCCTCTCCTGCGGGCCAGCGCCTTTGTCTTATTTTTCCTTGCGAGCTGAACGTTGGGCCGCGGAGCCCAGCGAGGCGCTTGGGTGTAAATGAGACCTTTCAGTGGACTGGACCGGGATCCAGGCAGAGGCTGATTCTGCCTGCCTGGGTTGGTGGTTTTAATGGCGTTTGCCTGGAATGCAGCACCTTTAGGTGGCGGTCGACTGGCGACATTAGGTGTGTCGCCTGAGGCATTTGCTAGCCACCTGTGGAAAAAGCTCCCTGCGCTTACTAGGTGTTGTGAAGTACAGGATTATACATTGTTATTGTGTCTCACAAAGGAACATTATTAAAGTATGCTTTTGGTAGCGTGTGAACCCTGGATGTTTGAAAGCAAGTGAGATAGTATCTAGAACCTAGTTAAACAAATTTCTATTATTTGAGCCTTAAACCTATACTCACCTACTCACCTGCTCTACCTCGTGCATGTATATTGATTGTTATTACCCAACAATGTTACACCTTCATGAATAACTTACTGTAAGAACCACAGAGACACGATTTCAAAATACATTAAGATAGGAATAATGGTGGTTCATCCATGTAATTCTTAGCAGTCTGGGATGCTGAGGCAGGGAGCTTAACACTTCCCGCATTAACAACGAACTCCTTAAAAACAAGTCAAAACCTTACAGTTGGAGTAACTGGCATAATGATGAAACAAAAGTTAAGTGCAGCAAGACTCCAAATAGTCTGATTCTGAGGAAGGAACGACTGCGTTCTGATAGTTTTTTTCTTTTAATATGCAGTATGGCTTTTAGTATTTTATAAAGATCTGCATACAGTTATTTCCACATATTCTGTGAAATTGTATTCAGTATTAAGAAAACTATGGTAAACATGAGACAAAATGAATGACATGCTCACACAGTGTACTATATACCATGAGGATTCAAATCAGTACTTTCCTTTTGCCAAAATTGGCCTGGTCGACCTGTGAAAGAATTCCCTTTAGGCGAGGTCCTTGGTAGATAGTATTGAGGACTGATGTTACTGCTTAAACGGCCTTGTTTTCTATTGGAATATGTGCTCCCTGCAAGACTGGGCTATGGCCTCTGGCGAATGGCAGTCAGCGGAAGAATCCTCCGCAAGGACATTGTTAGTATGCTTAACCTCACTTTCTGTGTATGTTTTACTGTTGTCCTTTGGCGTTCTCGGTGAGACCTGCTTTTAGTGTATCATTTTACCCCAGCGATCTATTATTCATTACCTGAGCGCATGAGGCAGGCAGTGTTGTGATGTGCACGTTAGTAAACATCTTCGTGAGACCATACTTTGTATTCTTACCGCGTGTAATTACATTTGAGATTGAACAAAGCTTAGTTTTGTTATTGATTTTCCTCTGTCAAGATGGATTTGTTACCTGGGGGTTGCAGTTGATGACATTTTGATATTAATATGTTTGCTGCTGCTACCAAGAGCTTCGTCAAGCAAGTTGGAGATGGAGGGAGATTAGTTCCGGTTCCAAGCCTCAGTGAAGCCGACAAATACCAACCTCTAAGTCTGGTGGTAAAAAAGAAGCGATGCTTTCTGTTTCCTAGATATAAATTTACCTCAACACCCTTTACATTGAAAGATATCCTCCTAGGAGACAGAGAAATTTCAGCTGGTAAGTTTAAAAGTTTGGGAGTGGCTATTCATGAGACTGTTAATCAGTCACCTAAAAATAGGTCTTATATACTAATTAAATTAATACATTTGCATTGATAAAGGCAACTTTTGTTATGATAGTAGTAATGTTAGGATTAATAATGTCTTAAAGTTTTTATGGCATCAAATATCTTATTGGTTGAGCTACCAGTTATTTTATAAGTTGATTTAACCAAATCAATTTGGGAAATGACAGAATAATGTATTTTTTAATTTGATCTTACTGATTTTACATGGTCAAATGAGTAAATTTTGTATTTACAATTCACTTATTAATAAATAGATCATAAAATAAATCATTATTTTAAAAAATTATTGCTTATAAACACTTTTTCCTTCAATCACCAGCAGCTCTTGATGCTGAGATATTCCTTTGGCTGAACAAAGAATTTGTATTCTTTTTAAGTACTGTAAAATTGAATTGAATTTTCTCTGTATATGTGGTTTTAGAAATGGAATCAGGGGTTCTCCAATGGTTGGCTACATCCCTAGCCCTTTTAATTTTTTGTTTTAAGACTGAGTCTCACCAAGTTGCTCAGGCTGGGCAATCCTGCCTCAGCTGCCCAAGTAGTTGAGCTGAATTACTGTTTTTTAATCTTAGTTTGAAATGTTGATTTTTCTTACAGACACTAACATTTGAGTACCTGAGTCTTCAATTGCAAATTAATGTTACTATATATAACCTATGTAAGACAAATTTGAGACATTTAAAAAATACTATACTCCTTCTGGTAAAGGTATTTCATCTTATCAGTTGCTGAATTATGAAGATGAATCAGATGTTTCGCTCTATGGACGTCGAGGCAACCATATTGTAAATGACGTTGGGATTAATGTTACTGGATCAGATTCCATTGCAGTAAAAGCTTCATTTGGCGTAGTTACCAAACATGAAGTGGAAGTATCAACATTACTAAAGGAAATTACTACACGGTCTGTATAATGATCCTAATATACTTCAGTATTTTCATTAACTTTTAATTATATAAACTTCATCACAAAGAATGTTTACAGTATTCACATACTATATGAATTAATTTGTTTGAAATACTACAAATTAGTATAGACAAACTTTAGATAAGGATACACATACAGAAATCATTTGGGTCAAAGAAGATTTTCAGTTCCATAAAATCAGTATAGTTCTGCACATGTTTGCTAAATTATTACATTGAAATAATACAGGACCTCACAGCAAATATAGTACAAGCATCCACCACTACAAATTCTCAACAGGCAGAATAAAATACTCTATATAAACATGTTTAGGAAAATAGGAAAGGTATATTATTCAAGATTTGGGGTGTGTATTTTCTGATTTATAATGTCTGCCTTGTTTGCTTTTGGTAAAGATGATCCATGAATGAATAAATAACGGATGGTATACATAATGATATAACAGAATCATGTGAATGTATCTTTCTTATTTTAGAAAGATTAACTTTGACCACAGCTTGATCCGTCAGTCCAGGAGCAGCAGGAAGGCGGTGCTGTGCGTGGTTATGGAAAGCATCAGAACCACGCGGCAGTGCTCGCTGTCAGTCCACGCGGGAATTCGAGGGGAAGCCATGCGGGTAAAGCACATCACTGCCAAGTTTCCAGTGGGCATTTTTAAAAAGTACTCTTTATCACGAGACATTTTGTCAAACGCTGAGATGAAAGAGCTATAGTTGTAGAGTGTTTTGCACAGGAATGATGTATTTTAGAGTATGAAAAAGCATGCAAGAAAACTTGGATTCTAAACAAGTATAATATAACTCAAAACACTACTTGTGAAATAACGTGCATACTGGAGTGCCCTTCTATTACTATTTAAGGGCTATTTTAAGAATAAAAAGAGGATAGGTTGTATTCTTTGATACTGTTTTGAAGTAATACAGTTCATACTTTGAATTTTTAAAGTTAAATGTATATTATTTATTTATTTATTTATTTATTTGTGTGTGTGTTACCAGGGATTGAACTTGGGACCTTGCACTTGAAAGACAGGCACTTAGGCCTGCTGAGCTTTATCCCCAGCCCCATCTTTTTCTACTATTATCTGTGAACAAACATCAAACATGCTTTGTTCAGCGTTAAATTATTTTTAAACAATTAAAAATAATTAAATTTAAACTCAATTATGGTTTTGTTTATCCTTGACATTCATGACTTGACAGGACAAAATCTGTGTTTTTTCTTTTTTTTTGGTCTTTTTGAGACAGGGTCTCCCTATGCAGTTTAGCTCCACCTTGAGCTCACTTTATAGGCCAGGCTTGACTTGTATTTGCAATGATCTTCCTGCATCAGCCTCCTGAGTGCTGGGGTTACAGGCATGCACCATCATGACCAGCTAAAACCTGATTCTTACACAAGGCTGAATGATAATTTTTTGGATAATATTTTGGAGTCTGCAAATGAAAGTTCTTCTCAGTACCTATATTTAGCTGTCAATATTTACTAGATTCTTATTATCATTGGATTACAGGGTGGGGGTACAAACTGAAGCACTTACTTGATTGTTGATGATTTTTTTGGAAAATAAATTGATGATTTCTTTGGAAAACTTAGAGCTGCGGTGAGGGTTCTGGAAGAGTAGACAGGTTAGACTGCAAGCTTCAAGGTGGCACTTAAACACAGTTACTTTCTAAGATTTGCAGTTGAAATCAGTAGGCTTCTACTGCAGATATTCGTTGACTTGAATACCAAAGTAAATTAAAAATGTGGAGAAATGTTCCCCAATGTAGATCATGAGTCCATGTTGGACCACCTGCATCTCTTCTATAAACAGCTTAGTTCAAATAGGTAATTCTTTACTTCAATGGATTTTGTTGTTTTGATGTTTTGTTTAAGAACTAAAAAAGTGATCCTGACATGTTAGGCTGTTTAATAATATTTTATTTATTTTAGTTTCATTTTATGGATGAACAGAATCCTAAGGGAAGAGACAAAGCTATTGTTTTTCCAGCACATACAACCATAGCTTTCAGTGTTTTTGAACTCTTCATTTACCTGGATGGTGCCTTTGGTGAGTGGATGGTCTGCTTGAAAGACAAATGATATATTTTAAAAGAGAATTTAATAGCAAGTTCTTTCTAGCAATTAAGGAAAGGGATGCTTTAAGTACTGCCAATCTTAATGCTTGAGAAAGGTCCTTCCCTGGCCTGCTTATCTGCTGCCTCTTTTCTGCTGCTTTATAAAAGCTGTTGACTCTCCATGGCCCTACTTCCAATTATAGATAAGAGCTAAAATCCAATCCATGTCCCCTGGCTTACCGGAGAGATAACCAATGCCTTTCTTATAGTTTTGGAGAATGGCAAGTAGGGGTACGTATACATTAAGGTCCTGAAGGGTCTTATTGCTTTAATCAGGCCACCCAAGACAACTTTACTTTTATCAAATAAACACAACTCTTTTCAACTTTCCCTAAAAAGCAACTTTAGATACATAAATACTTCCTCCAAAATTGTCATCTGGTGTAATCCTTTGTGCAACTCTAGTTTTCTTTTAAGGTTAGTTGCCTGGCAACTGGCCCAAAGCCAGGTATAGCCCAAAGGACCAGGCAAGGGAGTTCTTGGCTATGATAATTTATGAACATTTTTATGTCTATTTCTGTCCATTTCTGAAATTCTATAGAAAGAAGGAGTAGGATATTGAGAAACAAAACTGTTGTAAGTAAATTCTATTTGGAATCCTTTGGGTGCATGTTTTTAGAGATACAGTGATTGATTGGAGGAGTATAAACTCATATCCACCAAAATCTAAAATATACATGTACTTTGGCCTATGTGCCCAGGAATTCATCCCACAGGAGAGCTTACAGATAAGTGAATTGGTAGGCATGTAAAGGATATTCACATCCTGATAGTAAAAGCCAGGAAACCATTGTAAGTGGACTTTCACAGTGGTACAACAAAATACAACAGAATACTATGAAGCTCTTAAGTGTGAGGTAGCTCTAGAGATCCTACCTAACATGTAGTATGTAAGTATTGGTGCTAGAGAATTTTTTGCATATTTATACATATTCCTTGCAAAATACATGGATTTTCCAGGAAGCATACCTCATATCAGTGCCTCTGGGGTAGAAGACTGGCTGGGTGCAGGGTGGGCTAGAGACTTACTTGTCGCAGTAGCTCCCTTTTCAGCTTTTTGAATTTTGTGTCATCTGAATGTCTTTTCAAAAACTGTGTAAAATTTGACTTTAAAGTACACAATGAATGAATGGTCCATACAAAAATTCATTGCCCCTATAAAATACTCAATAAAACAATTACTCAAATTATAACATCTTTTTGAAATTGTTTTGTAGACCTTTGTGTCACTTCAGTGTCAAGAGGAGGATTTGAAAGGGAAGAAACGGCAACATTTGCACTACTCTACAGACTGAGAAATATACTATTTGAAAGAAGTATGTACTTTGAAGAATATTTTGAATGATTTTTTTTCTTTCTGGATTAATATGTCAGGTTATTTGTTATTCTGTCAAGTTATTCTGGATTAATATGTCAGGTTATTCTCATCTATTAAGGAAAAATTTAATAGCCAAGTCATTTCATGACAGATGATGTACCTATGCCCGTGCCTTTGTCTGTATCTATTTCTATATCTAAATGTATGTATGCCCATATCTGTATTTATAATGCCATTTTGATTGTATATTTTTATTTTGGCTTCTAATCCATTTCTGCTTTTGTTCTTTTAGATAGAAGAGTGATGGATGCCATTTCTCGCTCACAGTTTTACTTGGATGACCTTTTTTCTGAGTACTATGACAAACCTCTCAGCATGACTGATATTTCACTCAAGGAAGGGACTCACATAAGAGTTAACTTGCTCAATCACAACATTCCTAAAGGGCCTTGCATATTCTGTGGAATGGGGAACTTAAAAAGGGAGACCGTCTATGGCTGCTTCCAGTGCTCTGTGGATGGACAGAAGTATGTTAGACTTCATGCAGTCCCTTGTTTTGATATTTGGCATAAGAGAATGAAATAAAAAGAAAAATGAATATAGTTTGTTGGTGTTTTAAGTACAAGTTGCCATATAAGCCTTCCCTAAATTGCCTAGGTTTGCTTTTGAGTTAGGAAGGAAGAACAGCCTGTGTGGGTATCATTTTCCCCAGGTACAGATGATAACATTACTGTCTACCTCATAAATTATCAAGATTAATAACATTGATAATAGCAGTATAAATATATACTTGATCTCAGCTGAGAAGCGATTATACAGCAGTATAAATATAAAATTCAAAATATAGACAATCTTTCAAAAATTTGTCAAGTCACTTTATAATCACTTGGGATTTAATCTATCACTTTAGATAACAAAAGATTTTCTAAATGTATCAATTTTATAAATTCTAAAAAATAAATTTTTTTTTGTGGTATTGGGGATTGAATCCAGGATGTTAGGGCATGTTAGGGCAATTGGTCTCCTATGGAGCTAAAACTCCACTGTTTTTAAAAATTTTGACATTTTCTCACTAAGTTGCCCACCTGAACTTGAGATGCCTCCTGCCTCAGCCTCCTGAGAAGCTGGGATTTACAGGTATGTGTTACCAAACTTAGCTTATCTGTTTTATTCTTAAGATTCTAATTTAATGTTTAAGGATGACAGATGTATGTAAGTGGCTATTTTATGGTCCCTTAGTGCCTTAGCCTTGGCAAAAGGAGAAAAAATATTAATATTTAATATAATCCTAAATGTTTAATTGCAGTATCAAATTAAAAACATTGAGTTCAGCATGGAGTTTTAGGTACATAATTCACAGGGTGACATTAATTGCTCTTGTGATGTGATGATGTATGTTCACAATTTTGTCTCCATACAACTGTCTACTGTCATTTAAAAGGGAGGTAGGACATGTGTACTTCTTTGAAAATGAAAGTCTGTAATGATCATTCACTGCTAATGATAAGAACATTATGTTGTGAAGTTGGAAGCTAAAGTTCCCTGGCGTCGTTTTAAAACTGAAGACAAAAAGTCTGGGCTGGTAGATATTTAATGAAGGCCTGTGAGAAGGCAGACAGATAGCACACTTATAATTATTTCTGAGATCTAGAACTAATTCTTACTGAAGGATATGAAAAAGTCTTTGGTCTGGTAAAATATCTTGATTCCTTGTAGGACAGAGATAAACAATCTTTGGGTTTTTTGTTTGTTTGTTTTTTTGTGGTATTGGGGATCGAACTCAAGACTTTGCACTTGCCAGGCAGGTGCTTATGACACTGAGCTATATATCCCCAGCACCAATAAGCAGTCTGCCTTCATGTGTACCAAAGGCAGATTCTTTAGTTCTCATTTGTATACCCTATTATCCATAATGTTATGAAATACAAAATCAAATGAAAGGTTACTTCCTAGTTCCCTACTGAATATTTTATAAATGTGGCACATTTTAACATCTAAAATATTGGGTCTTTACGTATTTATATACGCAGCTAAGGTTGGGAGGAGTGTGCAGATTTTGATACATTTTCTTATATCCTGAAGGGAGATTACTGCCAACTGGGACACAGATTCACTCCAGAGTGCACAATTCATAAAGAAACAGGAAATATAATAATACTTTCCTTGAGAGTTAAATTTGCGAAATAGTCTCACATTTATTATACAAAAACTACCATGTATTTTTGGGGAAAAAGTATCTTCTCATGGGAGGAAAGTAGAAAACACAAGATAGAGAAAAGTAAATTGTTTTATATGTGAAGTGGAGTAAGTAGTTAAAATATGCTATAGTTCATCATGTTGGTACACATTATATTCCTTGGGAGAAATGAAGCCATTGCCATCGTGGTCATTCTTTTTAAAGAAGTCTTCTAGGACTGCATTCTGATATGACTTGTCACGTGGCTTCTCATCTTTTTCGAATTCTCTTTCCAAGTAATAGCTTACCTCAGGCTTAGAAAGTTGCCTGTCATTGTCTGCATCTATCTGTTTAAATGTTTCAACACTCCGTGGTCCTTTGGTGACAGCATAAAGTTCA